AAGTATCGCGAGCACTCTTTGACATACTTTCGCCGCACTGCGGATCGCACTCTATCCGAGCGGAATATAAATGAGATGTTATTTGAAAATGTGCGCCAACTCTCGTTCATCATTGTTTTTATTAGATCGTCGCTATTATAATAGCTTGGCGCTCTAAAATAAATGTTATTGGATATGTTTTGCGCATCGAGAGGTTTATTTTTATTACGTTTCATATATTTTGCCACTACACGTGGCACGTCTCCCACGAGATTTCGGAGTCCCTTGTTCCTGCGCCATCGTCTAGAATGGCGATCTTTTTTTCACGAAAACAAGAATTTTTTCTGATTAATCGAGAGCCGATCGACCGCACTGTGCATTCTCGAAAGCCCCGTATTGTTTATCCCGCGATTGGTAGACACGATTGAAATCTTTCTCTCCTGTCGACCTTTGTTCCTCGCCTCTTTTGATTCGGAATGTCCAGCCACAGGCTGCAACCGTCCATTTAAAATATCACGTCCTTTCAGTATAAATGGTCGGGATCTTCTTAAGTGCTTCGTAATTTCATTCCAACTAATGCGTCAATCATTGGCTCAAGGAAAACAATGGAAAAACTATATTCTCGGAAGATGTACATAATTTAAGTCCAATATCGATGTCTTCATGTACACACACACGCGCGCGCGCGCGCGCGTATACAGATGGTGCCGCTATGTGAATTATATAGACACAAATTTCGAGTCAGCCTACATGATACCGAAGCTGCAGTTACGGAAATTAATGCCTCCCGAAAATAAGTAATTCTAGAAAGTCAACCGTTTAGTATTTGAACACATAGATCTCCACCCGTATGCATAATTACTGATAGCTCGACGCAACATTATATAGCGGCAATCATAAATTCTCGGCGCAACGACGATATCGTCCCTTAGAGATTAAAGTAGCCTTTTCCCTGGCCGTCGATATTTCGACCAAAAAAAAAAGGTCAAATAATAAAACTATTTCAATTATTTTCGCGCGTCACGGTTACTTTACGCTTTTGTATTAAGAGGAGGAAATATTTCAGTCACGTCGATGAATTCTTAGAGACACGATGATTTCAGATAAACGCGGCGGGATGATTAATGTCGCTGTTTGTAAAAAAAAAAGGAGGGGGGACGATCGTTGCGACTCGATGTGATGAAAAAGTTGGCGCGTTTTGTTATGGCTGGTGCTCGGCGTAGCGAAAATCTCATCACTTAGGGCTTAATAACCAGAACACGCAGACTCCGGCGAGAGCGCGCTACGCCGCTCATTTATTTCCGCGTCTTTTGCCGCGATAGTTTTCCCTCTTTTTGTCGCGCGTCCGCTTTTTCTTCCCTTGCTCTTCGAGTGCGAAAGACCAAGCGCGAAAAAGAGAGGGATGTCGGGCGGACCGGGCGGCCGGGTCGAGCCCGCTAAAAAACGCCAGTGCGGGCCACGATGACTTTCGGAATCATTTTTCAAAATGTCTGCCTCTGCCTCGAGGGGGGTGACCCCGACGGGCGGCGGCGGCGGCGGCGGCGGGGGGGGAGGGGACAAGGGGGTGGCAGAGGGGTGGTCAACCCCCGTGGCGTAGGGTGGCAAGATGGCGCCGCACGGTAAATCGATGGAGGCTAGTCACTGCAGGCGCCCTCGCTTTCACAGCTCCAACTCCCCGTTCCCCCGTCACCCCCAGACCACCACCCACTTCGCTTCCCCCCGTCGTCCCCCTCATTTTCGAGCTTCACGCAAGCGCCCGCACCGTGGACGTCGAGTCTTCGGTCATCTAAGCATAATTTTGCACGGTTCTAGCATAGTAACCTACGCCTTGCCGAAAAAAATGTACAAAAATTTCCTTTTTTTAAATTCTTTTTCGTGTACGAAAAAAATCAATTTCCGAGAAAATTTTAAAATTAAAGAGCGACCAATCAGTCTTCCTTTCTCGTGCCATTTTTTCCCCCCTAATTTTCGAGAGAAATCTCCAAGCACGCGTCGAGATGCGCGAAAATAATAACGACATTTATTAATCGCCGATTTAATCGTTGTTAATTACGTTAGAGCAGTCGGCAAATAACGCGAGGTAGGCGAAAGTAAACGAGGAGTTTGCAGGGAAAACGTAAGCCGATCGTGTCCCGATTTTTCCGATAAACTCATCTCATTTTAATATTCAACACCTGTAAACGCATCGGGAACAAAGGCGATAGCCGCTGCAAATCGGAAAGTATTTGTATCGGATGCATTCCGCTGAGCGCGCTCTGTGTACAATAAAAATTTCAAGCGGGTCGTTAAAACTGGTTTTTATCCCGCGCGCTGTGTGCGAAGCGAACCTGTTTGATTCTGTCTGAGAAATGTAACCGCCGAGGGCGAGAACCCGCCGCGGCTTTTAAAAAGAACACACGCCACAACAGGTTTCCGTCTCTTAATCCTTCCGCGCTCGCTTAACAGTCTCTCACGTCAATGTGCAAATGAAAATTTTCATAGACACGTTAACGCCGCCTTTCCCCGCGTCCCGGCTAATGCCGCGAAATTTTCATAAGCGCGCTAATTTCATTATACTAATTGGAATATTTTAAAATTTACGTAAACGCGACGCGGGGACCGCGCCGTAGGACTCAATTACGAATAAAAACCCGCGAGTACGGGGGAATTAAATGTCTCGGTGGGAAAACACGCGCGTTTAGGGGGTCGTATTTTCCTACTAGCTCATGTAAGTCGCTTCTCGCAGGTCGTTCCTCACCTCGCTCGCTTCACCTCGTGGTCTCACGTAGAACGAAACATCGGTCAATCAGATCGCCCGATATTGTCCGCTTATCGCAGCTCCACGTGAAATGCTTGACATTGCTACTTGTCAACAATGCCCATTTGAGATTTATGCATGTTGCAAAATGTACGTCAAAATATCGCAAATAAGCGTCGATATAGCCGCACTGCAAATACCTACCATTTTTCTAATATTCTAACGTGATAAATCAATGTGGAAAAAAAAAGTATTATTATCTTTAATACTTGTCGCTGTGTCACTTTCAATTCGTTGGTATTTTTTAAATACGATTCGATATCCGCTTCTAATAATATATTTTTTCGTGTTTCTTTATCAATGATCTTTGTTAACTAACATTCGCTAGATTAGATCGAGTGTGTACCGAGAAGAGCATAGATATTACATTTTTTTAATCGCTCGAACTTTATTTCCGTTTCTCGTTACACCGTGACATTAAGATGCATTATTCTTTTCCGACGTACATCTATTCTTTCACAGTGTAATATTATACACGGAATAAAATCGCGTAAACAGATGTTCAATCTGTACCATATGAAATTTCAAGGCACCGTTTAAAAATCCAACGAAATATACATGGATAATTAACGCTTATCGATGTTTTATAAGAATGATTGATAATGCGGATAACGCAATTGATATACAAATAATTGATTGTCCAAAATGAGGTTACAATCAAAGCGTGAATTGCATAAAAACTCTATTTACTTGATAGCTTAATTATATCATTAACCCGATATCAACTCGATGTAATTAATGTAATAATAGAGAATAATAATATCCTTAAAATATTAAACTCTTTCAAGGGATATTGGAATGTGCGGAATACGAGCTGACCAATCGTTTTATATTTAAATTATATGATTTATCGAATTGTTACGCTGTATTAATTTGCATTTTCGTATTTCTAGCGTTTTGTGTACAATTCTTCTGCGCGATAGAATAATCTCTGTTGCGCGTGATTTCTGTAATCTTCTTTAATCTTTTAATTTTTGATCTTAACAAAAGGTCTTTGTCAAGTCAACATCCGCTGATTAAGAGTATCAAATAATCTCGACGAGAACAGAGGAAATTGATTTACGACGCGAACCTGATGCGAAAAACTGGCAAATCTCGACACAGCAATAGAATTGGACGATACGCGGATCAGATAATTAACGTTGCAAAAAAATAAACGGCACCAATATTATGTCGAGATTGTTTTACCGAAAACCGATTTGTCGGAGAAAAATATTTTCTTTCTCAATTGATGTTTCTAAAGTTATACTTTGCTTCAGAAATGCGATGTGCATATGATATGCTTCATTACTCCTTTTTTCATTATTTCAAAATCCGTAGCTATTTTTTCTATATATTTCAGATTTTATAAATTTCTCGTTTTGCCAAAATTAATTTCTTCGTTTTGACATTTTATTTAAAGATCTTAATTTTCAAATATGATTAAAATACATTTCGCTAATTTTTCTAAGTTTCAGAGTTTATCTATAATTAACGATACGTTTAGTGTCTTGTAATTAAATACATTTCAGACTTATGCATATCAATTTACTTTTTAAGTATACAAAATTTAAGGATTGCCTTATATTACATTTTAAGTTTTCCTAATCGATTGTTAACTATTCGTGTAAAAGGAAGCAGTAAAAAATTCAAGGATTTATAAAATTGAAATGTGTTACCTGAAAATTTGTATTTTTTTTTATAGACAGTCTCTATTTTGTAATATTATAATACTGTTTTTTTATTGTGCTCTTTTTGGAAACTTTATAATTTATTGTGTTTAATTATCGATATATACTCGTCAAGTATACTTTTAACAAGCTCTGGAAAAAGCTTCTAAAACCTTAAACGAAATCCTTTCCTTTTTAATCGCAAGATTTTAAACTTCGTCATTTATATGATAACTTAGCTTTACGTTTCATTCTTGTTATTTATCGTTGATATTCGGTATGCGTTAAAATAACTGATTAATAAAATGACCGTTGAATAAATAAAAATATTAATAAATAAATATTATATGTATACTATTGTATCATTATGTTAATCTCTAAAGATTAAAAACGCAAATCATATATTAACAAAGCGTACGAAACTTTGTGTTTCGGTAAATTTGCATTCGGCAAATATCGATGCAAATGTTATTGCGATCTCCGAACAGGACGTCTCAGATATCATCAAATTATTGATTATAGTTACGATATAACTGCAAAAGAAATTTATCTTATCGCTAAAATGGTATATAAGTATACCGACAGAACTCGGGTGTTTTATAAGCGGTTGAATGTGCAGTGTTAGCAACACTTAAACATGGAGATGCGTGTTCTAATTGGTGCCTTGCTCGCCTGCACCGTAGCTGGTAAAAATAACATTTGCATGTTTCTCTGTAAAAAGTATGAATTTGTTGGCGATGCCAGATACGCACATTTAACTTTGTGAATTCGAACACAAAGAGGCAATTGTTACAATAACAATATAAAGTTTTATATTTGACATATTTCTCTTATATATTTTCCTTTTCATTTTGCACTATGCGATGTTACGAGTTTCTTGTTCCGATTGCGCAGGGCTGCCGGTGAAAGAGGAGGTGCTTCCAGACGATATTTTTACTCCGCTGGATTACGCATTATTTAAAGATAAAGTTGCGTACGTGTACGACGACAACGAGAATTTGGTGAAGCTGACGTTGGACGACGTCGAGGAGCACATAGATGACAGCGAAGTTCCAAAGCGTGTCTTTTTCTATCTGCATAAAAAAGACAATCCTACCGATCCGAAGCAGCTCTACGTCGACGACGAGGATGCTCTGAAGAACAGCAACTTCGATCCCACAAAACCAACGCGTTTTGTCACTCATGGATGGATGAATTCTCGCGACAGCGTAGCGTGCACGTTAGTTCGCGACGGTAAGTGAACATTTGCCGTGAAATGTTACGGCGTATTTTGTAATTTAACAGAATCGCTGCTAGAAATTCGAAGTATAGAACGATAGTTTCTTTTTACATTAATTCAATTTGACTGAATCGAAAGACAGAGTCATTTCTCTTCGGATCTTACAATTAGACTATGCCTGCTAATGTCTGGCGCTTCTTGTGCAGCTTATCTTCAGTACGACAATTACAACGTCATCGTCGTCGACTGGAGTTCTATAAGTATCAGGCCCTATATTTGGGCTAGCAGGCGTGTCATGCTAGTCGGTCGATTCGTCGCCACTATGATCAATTTTCTCGTAAAGCACGGAATGGATTCGTCGCAAACCGTCCTGGTCGGCCACTCTCTTGGTGCCCATGTAGTTGGAATCGCTGCTCGTAGCGCTAACAGCGATATCAGTTATGTCGTGGGTAAGTTTTTAACATTTTTACATCTAATAGCGTTTATATTCGACTGAGCCATTTGACGTGACGGAAAATAGATGTTGTATTTTGCATCTTTTGATTGGTTTATTAAATTTTTCTTCACTCTTTTCATTGAGCCTCGTAGATATTCAAGATTATATAAACGATTGAAGGAATTTAATTTCTCACTTCTCTTTACGTAGAAAAAAGCGCGATGGTATCTCTTTAATATTAATGCGTCATTATTTTTCGCAGTCGCGACACCCACGCTCTTTGACACTTATCAAATCTTTAAAAAAATGGCATTTATTTTTCATTCGTGTTCGATAAACACAAATGCGTGGATTAGCAGAGTTTTTCGTTTTTCATAAAAATTCTTTTTCACACATCGATCGAATGTCATCACGGCTCATGTTTTTCATCGAATGCAAAACTCGGTTATGTCTATCTAATCAATAAATTATAATCATTCGTTGACATGGCGTGAATTTATGGCGTTCCAGGGCTAGATCCAGCTTTGCCCGGCTTCAGTCTGGCCGGTCCAGGGTCCAGGATATCCAGCGGCGATGCAAAGTACGTGGAGATCATTCATACTAACGGCGGTCTCCTCGGTTTCTTGGCGGCTATCGGAGACGTCGACTTTTATCCCAACGGCGGTCAAAGGCAGCTCGGCTGCGTGGTGGATGTCGGCGGCGCGTGTTCCCATGCTCGCTCGTACAGGTTCTTCGCTGAGTCTATCAACAGCGCGGTAGGGTTCCACGGGAGAAGCTGCAGCAGCTATCTCCGATTTAAGCTGGGCCTGTGCAACGGCTCGCAAACGTCCATCATGGGCGGCCACAAGCCGCTCCTCAGCGCACGCGGCAACTACTACCTGATGACCAATCCGTCGTTCCCGTACGCGAGCGGGCCGCTCGCGAGGCGACGCTGATGAGCGCCGCGCGATCCGGAAGGATCGGACCCCCGGCTGACAATCAGCCGTCAGCGAAGATTCTGGATTTGGAAATTCATCGCGGAACAGGAAGGAGAGATCCGCGCCTGGGCTAAACTCGTTTTTCCCGGCAATCGATCGGGCGCGTTCACGGTGCGTAATTTCGTTTCCGCCCGCAGCGGCTGTTTCGAGCGCGAGTATTGCAGCTCTCGTACCGGGGGGCATTTTTATATCGTCTAAGCCGGGGACTACAAATCGTCGGACCACCGGGAATCGTAGGTGGTATTTATCGAAGAAACAGGCTGAGGTATCGCCGCTGTCGTGCGACGATTCGCTTTGCCGTCGACCTAATTACCGGCGTAAGCGCAAGCAGCGCGTATTTTGCGAAATATGTCTCGTGCGACGTAAAATGCATCATAACGTTCTATTGGAAATGCAAAATAGGGTAGGACACGCCCCGGTGTTCTCTAAACGCGAGTCCAATGCACGTATCAAATTCTCCGCCGTTGTCCATTTATTTTTTCCTCGCAGCGACTCGCAACGCTTCGGTGCGTACACGCGTGCAAACATCCACCGAGACGAGCGGCCTCTCCAAACGCGAATCGCCCGGACCAGCCCGTGATCTCAGTCGCGTTGCATTAAATTTTATCGTAATACATCTCGTGTATATCGCGCGTAACAACAAAGATAATAAAGGCGATGCGGAAAACAGTCGGATGCAACCGTACGCTGAATTTTAGGCTCCGGGCTGTTTCGTGTAAACAGACGTAGATATTTATCATTTTGACATAATGCGCGAGATGAAGTTTTGAAAAGGAAGATAAACGCGATTTCGCAAAATAAGGGAGACCGAAACGAGAGTTATCTTCGCCGATTACAGTGTAGATGCGAACGACGTCAATCGCGGGAGCGTCTGATCCTCAGGACATAGTCGCGTATTGTGTCAGAAATATTCCGCATTCCAGATCTAGGATGCTTGAAAATGTACAGACATTTTCATGATATTATGCAATGAAATGTGATAAAATTTATACTTGTTTATGACAGAGCACTGATGTACAAATATCATTACTATACTTTTGCAAAGAATCAAGTGTGCGTTTCTTTTATTTAATCCCCAAACCTATACCAGATAATAAATTATCTTTAATCATAGTACGATAATATGATAATCGCGACGCTATCGTTTAAAAATATTCTAACATTTCAATCAAGTCAGATTTAAGATATTCTACCGACAGCAAATATTAAAATAATTTTTTCCGACTGATTGAAAATAATCTGAAGTGAACAAATTGTTGCGTAAGTTTTGCAAGAAAAAAAACATACGTTGAGACAATTTACGCAAAAGTGGAAAAAATATTTACATTGTCGAAATTGTAGAGAATCTTCTGCTAATACGTCAAAGGTGCTGCCGGAGCTCGCGGTCAAAAAGTATTAACGAATTTTTTTAATGATACGAATACGCGAATTGGTATAAAATATTCAGTCCGAAACGATTGATCCACGGCGTTAAATCGCGATATCTACAAGTTTGATAAGGCGCCGAATGTTTCCATTGCGGATATACGCCGGGAGTATCAATTGTTCGCACGCGCAATTGAAATATCCGCGATAAAAGTTGGCGTAGCCGGGGCCGTGTTTCATTAACATGTGAACAATGGGTTCGCCAGATGCAAGCCGGCCACCTGAGTATGAATACCACCTGACGTGAATAAGGGTCCCGAATAGGTGGATGAAAAAAATCCTGATGCAGGACGTCCCGAACAGGAATACCTTCTTTCTTGATCGGTAAGGTATTCCTTCGGGTCGCGTGTTAATCTGTTGGGGCTAATGCGGCGCATATGATAATAATTATCAATCATATCGCTAGCGCCATAGAACGATAGGTATCACCTTTCAGTCGGACAAACTACAATCTTATCTGATATATTATTGCCTACTACTGCGATTTCTCACGTGCCGATATTTCTGTCCGATAAGATTAAATAATTAATATCAGATCTGTTGGTATGCTAATATAACTTTCGCTTGTCGATTCAGTGTAGTTGAAACGTCGAAGAAGCATTACATAATTGGATTGTTATGTAACGCGACTGAACAATTCATAATGTCAAACGCTATTTTATTTTGCATGATCTCATCCTGCTCTGCGCGGGACTTGTGTTAATACGTCTATTTCTTCTGTTTCTAGCAACGGCAAGGAAAGCATTCGCGAAATAACTAAATCCATACTTTTCGTCTAAAAAAAAAGTGCTCTGACATTTCTAAAGTGTAAACTCTTTTCAGATGAAATACGCAAAGTCCCGAGATCCAAATACAATTCACGGAGGGAGAGCGCGTTATTTAATTGTAGCGGTAATAATTCTTTTCTTGTCTGACGCGCCCTGTCCGAGGTGTAGGTCAAGATTAAAACCCAAAATTGACGTCGAGGGAAAAATTAAAGTTGTAAAGTTTCTGGTATCTATCAACGCGAGACGGGTCCATATATCAGCATACGTAGCGTTCGCTGCCTATGTCTCAGCCGCGAAAGTATTGTCCCTTCGATCGTATTCAGGCCGCAGGCTCGCCGGTGACGACTCTTTCCCCGGCGCGAAACAATCCCCTTGCCGTTCATTTTTCTGAAAGTATCGACACCGAACGAGAATTTATTTGCTCCTTTTAAAGTTGATGTTGCCCAAGAAAACCATCACGTGTATACATGCGCATTCGGATTCTGTGATACTTCGATAAAAGTATTTAAAAACAATTGGAAAATATATTCCTAATTTTTTCCCCCTGCTGAAAGTGGAAAGAGAGAAATGGAATAGCGTATAAAGTGACCAAAATGATTAAACAACAATCATGTGAAAAAAGAAATGGGCACATGTTTTATCCGCGGTGCAGAATATTCTACTGTAATGTTTATCCATCAAGTACATTATCGGTATATTTCAAGTACCACAAGAAATTATGTATAAAATTATTAATTATCGCATTATAAATTCTCGCAAAATCGATGCGACCAGAGTGTCACGGATAATCTAATCGCGAAATCTCGCGAGCGCAAAGTGTACAATAATGTCGTCGTAATATTACGTTAACTTTGGCCGGAAATCGATTGTCTTATATCGAAACCTCCAATTGGGGAGGTTTAAAGCAGCGAGTATGGAAAACGAACCAGGTTCCGGCGGTCACCCTTCGAGGTAGGTAGGTATATTTGATAAACGCCGCACTCTATTTTTTGTGCCCTTGTGGCGACTCGTTTGGCGACCAGTCGTGAATGTGAGAAACCGGGACGACAAAGGGTTAAAAAAAAGAGGGGGGGGGCACTCTTCGAGGGACGCGCGTGCATTCCACGTACGTGACCACTTACGCGAGACACTTTGTTCGTGCGATCTTAGGAAAAGAGAGCGAGAGAGAGAGAGAAAGAGAGAGACATTGTCAGTGTCGCGTGTCTTGAAAAAGCGTATCGGCACGTTTGACGTCCCATCGGGGAGATTAATCCACCCGGAATCGTTATTGTCGCGGTGCATTTTGGGGTCCGCCGCATTATTGCACGCGCGGGCGTTGCGAAGTACTTTACTCGCGGTGTGTGTACCGCGCGTATAAACTACATAAAATAATTGCTAAATGAATCGCCGCGCTGTTTTTCCCGTCATTTAAGCGAACTTATTAAGCGAACATTTTAATTAACGCGGCGATTAATCACGTAGATCACACATCCGGTCGTCACGTTTATACGCAAATATATTATTTACGCATTTCCAAAGAGTATCGCTCCGCTCTATCGTATAGCCGAGGAAATGAACTGATAATTGCATTATACGCATAATTGCGCCAATTATGGCCGACTTTTGACGACGAATTATACGATGCTTTGGAAACGTTGCCCCGGCGAGGCGTCGAGAGAGAGAGAGAGAGAAAGAGAGCGTACGCGCGGTACAAAATCAGGTGCGCGTACGTACACAGATGAAATTTCATAATCGGACGTAAGGGAGCGGGCGGGGGAGGGGGGGGGGAGGGCGGAGGGCGGAGGGGACCACTCGAGAAAGAAATCGCAGGGCGAGTAATGGGAGAGCGCGGGCGGCGAAAACGCATAATTTTAGATCGTAAATACGTAACCCGAGCCAGGGTGGTCACGCACTTACGTTTAATTGGTTCTTATGACGGTCATCTTAATTGACCGTGCGACTATTATCGGATAGGATTACCGTGTATTTATACGGTACCTTATGGTCCTTCGCCCGCGTGTGACTCAACGCGTCGGGACGGGAGGACCGCGGCGCTCGCTCGCTTTTCTCGAAAGAGCCACGCGCGTTCGCGGAATCGATTTAATCGTATATAATAATTAACGCGCGCGTACGCGCGACGTGTGAATCGAATAAAACCCGGTAAAAAGTAATGCGCGTTACGCGAGAGCGGACGATCCATTCGATAAATTAAACAATTAATCCTATAAATTTTTTAACGCGCACGTGGCGACGCGCGATCCACGTGGCGGCTTGGAGTTTCGAAAGATCGTCGTCCCCCCCCCTCCCCCCGCGACGACGAGAGCTCGCGGGGATGTCGAGCGAGCCACCGTCCCGCCCCCCCCCCCGTCCCGTCCACCCCCTTGCATTTTCAGGAAGCGTCTGAATAAAATCGTATATGACGAACTTGCCGGGGCTACACGAGGTTTTCCAAAAGTGGTCAAGGTGTGGGGGGCTGGGTGGACAGGTCGTTAATAAAGCTTGAAGAAGGGCCATTAATCACGGGGCTATCTCGGAGTCGAGCTCGCTCGTGTAAATACCCGCGGAGATATTTACCCAAACGCGCGTAAGTTGTGCGTACGCCCGTCGCCGTCCGTCCCCTTTCAACCCCCCCCTTTTTCCCTCCCCCTCGTGCGCCATCACGCGTCTTCCACGATGATCAATGTAAAGAACTCGCCGGCGATAAAAAGCGAGGGAAAAAAAGCGCGGCCGGGGCCGAGGGGGGGGGGGGGGGGTGGAGAGGCGCCCTTAGTCCAAATATTGGCTGTCCATTTATCAAGCGCCGTAGGTTTCGATCCGCGCTAATTAGCTTTCCTCCTGCGCCTTTCTTCGCCCGATTCCGCCTCCGACGCGCGCGTGCGACGACTCGTGCATAACGCTCCTTTATTTATTGCTCTTTTGATCTTGGAGCCCGGACGCCATTGATAAACGACCGGCTCATATCGCGAATATACGATTCATCGGCGGCTACTAAATCACACGTTGACCAATGGCGAGCATATTGGCCTATTGACTTCCGCTTTATCGTAAGAGTCACGAAGTGAGGAAATAAGACGCCTCGGGGGAAACCGTGTTGAATCTTTCAATGGGATTCACGCTCCGATTGTTCTTCCGCGTATTGTAAACCGAACGATTATCAAAAGACACATTTACATCGCGGAAAACGGCGATGTAATGTTACGTGCCAAGAAAGCCACGAATCTCCCGTGGAAGATCCCCCCCCCCACCGTTTCAGAAAATACAAGAAAAACACGCACATAATCTAATCGTGTGATTCTTTCGCTAAAACGCTTCGTCGTCCGTGCTCTGCGGCCTCGAAGCTCGAACGTCACAAGTTAGATTCCTAAAATCAGCCCGAATCACGCGCCCTTTCGACACACGGCCTCCCCAGGTACGAGATAAGATCTTCCCGTCGACGAGGCAATTTTTCGATGCGATTCGAACAAACGAACACCCAGGTCGATTACGTATCTTCGTGAGATTCGCCGGGGTGGTCTCCAGGTGAACGTAAGTCCGTTTATCCGTCATTCGCGGCGGACACCCACGGCCAACAAAGATGGCTGACTACAAAACGCGTAGGCAGCTTGATGTCTACGAACATGTGTGTGTATTCATTTGCGCACACGTACACGCGTTCACGCACACGCTGGCACGCACGCACACGCACACATACAGGCGTCCGCATACAGGCACAAGTACATACGTGAGCACGGAGTCGTTGGCAAGGCAAGTACACGTGGAAGACGGGGATCGCCGATCGCCGTCGCGAAAAACCGCATCGCCGACGCGAGCGAGACGCGACCGCCGGCCGTACGGATTGATGCACGTACGACTGGCTGGTGATGCAACATAAATTAAACTG